CTTAACTCAGGCAGCCATTCACACAACTAGGTACAGTATGCGTGTTGATAACGTAACAGGCAACACAGTCTTGAAGTTCGATACGTGAGGTTGGTGGCATCGCTGGTGGTTTGATTGCGTCATTGATGCAAACGGCAGATGAGTGATACTGTGTTTTGAAATAATATACCATACATAGAAATACTATAAAAAAACTACCTGATATGATGTGTAATCTATGGGATTGATATTATATAAGAATTTACGTGAGTCACGATTTCTTCCTTCCTGTCCCATAACCCACCAGTCTTAGAGGTTGCTACATGGTGAGTTGCTCAACAAGAAACCTCTATTTGATCTCGAGTCCATTAATCAGCAGTTTGTGGCATACAAGTCAAGATTTCAAGCTTTAAAAATCTTTCCAAAACTAGGACTAATATGGCTGCTATAAAGTGCAAACAGTTACCACCATGTTGTAAACAAGTGGAACAGCACTTATAAAAATCACTGTACGCCACTTACCATATCTCCAGCAGGCTGCCACAAATATATCCGGCTAAAATTTTTGTTTGGTGAGCATTTTTAGCATATTAACACAGAAATTAATATAAAATAGTAACTCAAATTCTATTAAATCTACATTACATGTCGTATCCGACAGCTGATACATTATAAACACTGTCGAAGCATCGCTTAACTCAGGCAGCCATTCACACAACTAGGGACGGTATGCGTCTTGATAACATTACTATCAGAAACTATCTGATATGAAGTGTAATCTATGGGATATAATATATATTAATATTATATTATAAACGAAACTGATCTCCTTTACTCCCCACAGAGAACCCTCCTTGCTTCTCATCAGAATGGTTGATTCCCAAATCCTCGAAAGCGCCTCGTTACGCCTGCTTGGTCTCACGCGGTTCACTTGACCTGAGGTGGAATAAATATATTGAATCAATAGCTTCATCTACTGCAAGGAAATTGGGTTCTCTGTGTCAAGCCAGATTTTTTTTTTGGGGGGGGGTTCTCGTTTGAGCCAATCCTTCACATCTGCAAATCTACCATTCGTGTTTGCATTGAATATTGTTACCGTATATGGTCTGGTGCTCCTGCTGTTCACCTCAAGGTTCTCGTCAAAATCTAAAGACCGATATGCAATGTGATAGATCCAGTAACTTTTGTCTATTTCTGGCTTTATTAAATTGATGTAATTGTTAAAACTAAATGAATTTGCATTGTTGTTTTTGCCTAAACCCTCCAGCTGATGAATTACCACAAGATTTCTTTCTCAATTATGAAGTTCTTCCTAACTGATAGGTCGTTGAAGGTACTTGTTAACGGCAATCAAATCAGGCGTACCCCAGGGAGTACTTTTTTTTAACGTTACATATGCCTTAAGAAAAGGCTCAAACTATTTGTGAATATCTATGCCAATGATACGACGATATACAGGCGCTCCTCTAAATAACTAGAGATTGATCTCTCATCTAGTCAAGCTCTAAGTCCTCAGTGGGGTGGGGACTGTCTGTTTATATTCAATACCTCGAAAACCAAACTAGTTACTTCGCTGATTGGACACCAAAGTACCACTAGTCACGATGAACGGATGTCCCCCCCCCCGGGGAAAGTCCCATGCCTTGAGAAATTATTGAAACTCATCCCTGAACCCAACTAGAAGTCATACATACGATCTACCGTTAAAGATGCAGGAGACATGGCCGGTTCTCTGTATCGATCGAAGAAGGACGTTATTCCCCGTACTATCCTTTACAAGAGATAAATCAGGCCGAAAATGGAATTCTGCTGTTATAGATTGGCAGCAGCTTCCCGGTTCTAAATTTCCAAAGAGTCCGAAAGCGTTTCCACATCCTTGTGGGTGACAAATTATTTTCCACCCTAGAACCCCTCTCCCACAGACAGGGTGTGACAAGGCTCTCACTGCTCTGTCGCTACTTCCATGGAAAGTGTTCAGACAGTGAGATCCTTGGTTCCGACAGTGGAATCCTTTACGGCTAGGATCCGCCATTCCACTCATATTGTAGCAAACCATCGCACAATCTAAAAAAAAATCTTGTTTTAAATAACCTGCAAAAAGTTTGGTAAGACAGAGGAAACGAGTCAATCACTTACGGAAATACCTCACGAGTGTCAATTTCAACCATGTAGATAGACGGATAACCCCCGCCGACACCCCACTCTGACTACCACGCGGCTTCGACATCACTACCGTAACCTTGGTCAACCGACCTAAAAAAAACCGTCAACTCCCGTCCTTACCAACAACACCCTTACACTTACATTACCAACGGCAACTAAAGAAACACATATCAAGAATTTTCTTCCCTTTAATTACATATGTTGGCATTGAACATTATTAGATAACAAGATATATTTTTATATATCAAGGACAGTATTGGTAAAATTGTATGACAAAGTGGAAAAAGTTTATTTGCGACGCGTTTCGTTCTTCAGGACTTCATCAGACTAAATTTGTTATTTTGATAGGACTACGCATGCGCACGTGATGGGAATTTTCGAATTTTTTTTCTCTATTTTTTTTTGTCTTGATGTTCCACACTAATTAGATATCATTATTTTGGTTTGATTTACATTATCAACCTCAATTTATTTAATGCCGACAGCATTTTAGGATAGATTCAATAGAATATGTATTCTTTTGTTTTATTGGTTTGGTTTATTTTGTTTACGGCATTCCATTTAATGCACAGTTTTTAGGATAGATTCGTCTGAATTATGTATTCTTTGGTTTAGATTGGTTTGGTTTATTTTGTTTTACGGCATATCAACCTCAATGGGTTTATTTAATGCCGACAGCATTTTAGGATAGATTCGTCTGAATAGAATATGTTTCTTTGGTTTAGATTTGGTTTATTTTGTTTAACGGCATATCAACCTCAATGGGTTATTTAATGCTAAATAGATTCGTCTGAATTATTTCTTTGGTTTAGATTGGTTTGGTTTATTTTGTTTTACGGCATAAAACCTCAATGGGGCATTTAATGCCGACAGTTTTAGGATAGATTCGTCTGAATAGAATATGTATTCTTTGGTTTAGATTGGTTTGGTTTATTTTGTTTAACGGCATATCAACCTCAATGGGTTAAACAGCATTTTAGGATAGATTCGTCTGAATAGAATATGTATTCTTTGGTTTAGATTGGTTTGGTTTATTTTGTTTTTTACTATCAACCTCAATGGGTTATTTAATGCACATTTTAGGATAGATTCGTCTGAATAGAATTGTATTCTTTGGTTTAGATTGGTTTGGTTTATTTTGTTTTATATTCAATGGGTTATTTATGCCCAGCATTTTTATAGATTCGTATGAATAGAATAATTTTTAGTTTATTTTTGGTTTATTTTTCTTTTATATATCAACCTCAATGGGTTATTTAATGCCGACAGCATTTTTAATAGATTTAATAGAATATGTATTCTTTTCAGATTGGTTTGGTTTATTTTGTTTTGACATTCAACCTCAATGGGTTATTTAATGCCGACAGCATTTTTAGGATAGATTCGTCTGAATAGAATTGTATTCTTTGGTTTATTGGTTTGGTTTATTTTGTTTAGGCATATCAACCTCAATGGGTTATTTAATGTAATATTTTAGGATAGATTCGTCTGAATAGAATATGTATTCTTTGGTTTAGATTGGTTTGGTTTATTTTTGTTTTTACATATCAACCTCAATGGGTTATTTAATGCCGACAGCATTTTATAGATTCGTCTGAATAGAATATGTATTCTTTGGTTTAGATTTTTGGTTTATTTTGTTTTACGGCATATCAACCTCAATGGGTTATTTAATGCCTGATTTTTATTTTGCTGATTGGTTTGGTTTATTTTGTTTTATATCAACCTCAATGGGTTATTTAATGCCGACAGCATTTTTAGGATAGATTCGTATGAATAGAATATGTATTCTTTGGTTTATTGGTTTGGTTTATTTTGTTTTTACGGCATATCAACCTCAATGGGTTATTTAATCCTACAATATTTAGGATAATATGAATAGAATATGTATTCTTTGGTCTAGATTAGTTTGGTTTATTTTGTTTTGCGGTATATCAACCTCAATGGGTTTTTAATGCATTTTATTGCTTAACTTCAAAATCTTTTCTGGTAATATTTTTCCTTGGATCAAAACATTTTTCAAAGAATGTATAGCTGTTTGCATTGCTGGTATTTTTTTTTAAGTATTGCAGATGATAATTTTTCCTTCAAAATTATTGCTGGTAAAAATTTTTTTATTACAAAGTATTTCTGGTATTAAAACCTATTTTTTACACAAGTTTGGTGTTAACTATTTGCCTATACTTGGGACCCTAACAGATGCTACCACCCAGGGTCAAGATAGACCTGGGGAACACCAGCAATTAAGAGGCGGTTTCACGCTCTTCAAAACCTCCTGATCAGAGGCCTTGCTGCTGGACTCAGGACGCGGATGTAGTTTAATGTCATACCCAGGGCGGCCATTATTATGTATATATTCTGAAAATTGATCAATAGACGTTGTTGAAGTTCTTTCCTTTGCAACCATACGCAGGATTATAACATACAAAATCGATCATTTTGAATGAACTTATATTTAAAAAAAAAACAAACAAAAAACGAAGCCTTGCTAATATCATCTATTACAAAATATATCGTAAAACCGAAATTTTACCCGATTTTCTGCGGATATTTTATTTAACCCTTGCTGTTTCCAGGCTAATAATCTTAGAACACCAAAAATACCAAATGCAAATCTTCGTGACATTTCTGGCTCAACGAATCATATATCTTTGAGCGGAAACTCACGTAAATATGAAGAAATCTCAATAAAACTGGCTTACTTTCTTTGCCATGGTGGAGACGTGACTTAAGTACGTTTTACGGTGGTGTCATTTGCCAGTAAATGAGACAAGCAGAGGAAGATGAAGTTGGGCATTGTTGTATTCTACCTTGACTTTCGATTCTTTTTTGCCATCACATTTTTGAAGACAAGATTTATGGTGGCAATTTCTTTCCTTCTTTCTTTTTTTATCACAACGCCATTTTTTTCTTTAGACTTGTTTGCTGTTAGAAGCGTTTGTTTTTCTTTGTTTTTTGTTTCTTTTTTCGATATTTTTCTTTTTTTTTTTTTTTTTTTATTATTGATTTATCTTTTATCATTTTCAGATTCTCGTTTCTTTCTTTCCCAAGGATTTCATTTCTCGTTTCATTCGCTTTTTCGAAATTAGCTTTATTTTCTTCTTTTTTTTTTTTGCATTCTATTATTTGATTCCTTTACTTCTTTCTTTCTTTCTTTCTTTCTTTCTTTCTTTCTTTCTTTCTTTCTTTTTCCTCTTTTATTTTATATTTCATTCACTTTATACTTTTGTCTCTTACGTTTTCTCTTTTTCCATTCTTTTATGTTTTTATGCTCCATTTCTTTCAATATTACATGATAAATTTTCCTTCTCTTTGTATTTCCGTTTCTTTTTTTTTCTTTCATCAGTTCTCATTCCTTCATTCATTCATATTTTCTTTATTCTTTCTTTCTTCATTTTCTCATTCATTCATTCACTCATACTTTCTTTCCTTCTTTCTTTCTTTCTTTCTTCAATTTTTCATTCATTCATAGTTTCTTTTTTTAATTTTTGCAAATTTTTCTTAATATTATTTTTATTTGTTTATCCTTTCTTTCTTTCTTCAATTTATCATTCCTTCATTCATTCATAATTTCTTTCTTTCTCACTTTCTTTTTGTTGTAGACGTCGATAAATTTGTTTCTGTGTTCTTTTTAATCTTATCATCTTTCTTTTTATGATTCATATTTTTTTTTCATTTTTTTTCATTTTCCAATTCGTTTTTTTTTCTTTCCTTCGATTTCTTTTTTCATTCATTTATTCTTTATTTATCTATTTTTTCCAGTTTTATTATGTGATTTTTTCTTACATTCTTTTTATTTTGTCTGTTGTTTTACTTCACTCATCATTTTTTCTATTTTTCGTTCATTAATTCTTACTTTATTTCTCGACTTTCTTTCATTCATTCCTTTTTTATTTTCATTTTCTTTATTTCATTCAACTATCTTTTTTTACCTTCCTTTTATCCTTCTTTTTCGATTATTTTCTTTCTTTCTTTCTTTCTTTCTTTCTTTCTTTCTTTCTTTCTTTCTTTCTTTCTTTCTTTCTTTCTATTTATATCTCTTTTATCTCCCGTCAATTTCTTTCTTTATTTTCTTCTTTCTTTCTTTCTTTCTTTCTTTCTTTCTTTCTTTCTTTCTTTCTTTCTGTTTTATTTTTTTCTTTTTCACAGTTTGTTTCCCTTTTTTCAAATTCCTATTTTTTATGCCCTCCTCTTTTCTTTTTCATTTTATTTACTTCTCATTCCCGCTTCTTTTTCTTTCTTTCTTTCTTTCTTTCTTTCTTTCTTTCTTTCTTTCTTTCTTTCTTTCTTTCCCGCTTTTTCTGTTCCATTCGTTTCTCGCATTTATTTTTTATTCTATCACTCGCCATTTCTTCCTTAATTTCATTCTTTATCTCACTGTTTGTCAAAATTATTATTTCTTCTCTTTTTCTTTTTTCTTCTTTTCTTATTGCCTTTCTTCTCTCCTCCCCGCTCTTTAATATACCCCCTCTTTTCCTCTCTCACCCTCTCTCTCTCTCTCTCACACACACACACAAACATCCTTTTTCTCTGCTTTTTTTTTCATTTTTCACTTATTTATGAAAGAGCGCGCTTCCTCCTATTTCTTTCTTTTCGCAGTTGTCACATTTAGACGCCATATAGTGTGACAAAGTGAATCTTTAACGACTAGCCCGGCCCTCTAATATACTGCCCCCCACCTCATAACACTAGAGATGTGATTTACCTTTGTAGTTGATCGAGTTGCCCAGAGGATATTCTTTGCCATATATCTTCCTCTTTTCAAGCTTCCCGACCGTAAATTCAGCTCTAACGACTGAAGCCGCCATCTCCATAAGTCTTGTTTCTGTTCTTGTATTAAAGACGTGTGGGTGTTTTTATTCATATTCTCAGACGGCTTTCTTTTACGGCATTGAAATTTCAGTACGGAATTTTAAAATTATACATTCTATAGTCTTCTTCTATATGTCATGTCTTTTCATGTTTTGAATGATCATGGCTCTCCACAACTTTCTTCTCTTTATTGCTATTGTAACCTAGAAAGTGTTACTGAATGAGGAATAACCAAAATGGCGATTGGAAATAAAATGGTAAACTTCAACAAAACATCAACAAAATATAATACTCGCCAGCGGCGTAAAATAGGTAAACCACTTCTAGTGGTAGACTACTTTAACAGCATGTTACGATATTTACCTGTCTTCTTACGAGGTGGGATGTGGCACAAGGCCAAATTTAATGTGAGGAAATCTGAACCCGTGAGCTCGGGTAAAATTGTCCGTAGACCCCGCATACGCAGGATTGTGTATCTGTTTACCTCCCTGGACGAGACTCTCCTCTTCGGCATAGCCTCGTCTGGGTTCCTCTCTGCCAGAAGGCAGAGAGTTCGACACGGCAAGAGCTTCCCACACTGACAGCTCACGCTGCCATCGTAGACAACAAATTACCCCCACTTACAATAGTGTCCAACGAATTTATGAGGGTTGGGACATAACCATAAGTGTTCATAGGTACAGTATATAACGCTATCTAAATCTGTTCTTTAATTATGTATCTCTCTATTTCAATCTCTTCCTTATCTATCTATCTATCTATCTATCTATCTATCTATCTAGTTCATTTCCGTATCATCTATCTATCTATCTATCTATCTATCTATCTATCTATCTATCTATCTAGTTCATTTCCGTATCTATCTATCTATCTATCTATCTATCTATCTATCTATCTATCTATCTCATTCTGTTAATTTCTATCTATCTATCTATCTATCTATCTATCTATCTATCTCGGTCTGTTTATATCTATCTATCTCATTCTGTTCATTTCTATCTATCTATCTATCTCGGTCTGTTTATATCTATCTATCTATCTATCTATCTCATTCTGTTCATTTCTATCTATCTATCTATCTATCTATCTATCTATCTATCTATCTATCTCAGCCTGTTCATTTCTTTCTATCTATCTATCTATCTATGTATCTATCTATCTCAGCCTGTTCCTTATCTATCTATCTAGTTCTTTTCCGTCTCTATCTTTTACGTATCTATCTATCTATCTATCTATCTATCTATCTATCTATCTATCTCTTTATCTCGATTTGTTTATCTATCTATCTATCTATCTATCTATCTATCTATCTATCTCATTCTGTTCATTTCTATCTATCTATCTATCTATCTATCTATCTATCTATCTATCTGTTGTAACCTAAAAAGTGTTACTGAATGACGAATAACCAAAACGGAGGTTGGAAATGAAGTGGTAATCTTTATAACATCAACAAAATACAATACTCGCCAGCGTCGTGATGTAGGTAAACCACTAGTAGAGGTGGACTACTTACACAGTATATTATCCCCATTTACAATAGTGTCCAACATATTATACTAATACACATTAGTGTTCATAGGTACGGTATATAACACTCTATTAAGATTTCTTAAGAGAACAGGACGATAAACACAATACACGCTGTTTCAAATAAAAGAAAGAAAGTTTCATTGGAAATAAAACTTAAAATTATTAAAAAAATATCGAATTAAAACTAAATCCATTAATTGTTAATATATATATATATATATATATATATATATATATATATATATATATGGTCAGGGTTTAATTATACCAGGGGACAGTAATATTAAAAAGTGCTCATTATATATATAATCCAGTGATTTTTTTTCTGTTATCCTCACATATCAGAATGTCCTTTCTCAAATTATGAAAAACTATTTATCTTACGCAACAAATATTTATTTTTCAACATAATCCCTTTCCATGTCAATGCAGGTAATAAAATGCTTTTTTATCCACATGTGTAGGTGTTGCAACCTAGAAAGTGTTACTGAATGAGGAATAATCAAAACGGAGTTTGCGAATGAAATGTTAATCTTTATAAGATCAACAAAATACAATACTCGCCAGCGCCTTGAAGTAGGTAAACCACTGCTAGTGGTGGACTACTTAGCATATTACCTTCACTTACAATAGTGTCCAACAAATTTATGAGGGTTGGGACACCCATAAGTGTTCATAGCTACGGTATATAACACTATCTAAATCGGTTCCTTATCTATCTGTCTATCTATTTCAATCTGTTCCTTATCTATCTATCTATCTATCTATCTCAGTATGTCATTATCTATCTATCTATCTATCTATCTATCTATTTATCTATCTATCTATCTATCTATCTATTGTAACCTAGAAAGTGTTACTGAATGAGGAATAACTAAAACGGAACTTGGAAATGAAATGTTAATCTTTATAACATCTGTTAGACATTTTCATGACGGTCGTCCTCGAGTATAGAATCTAGAGGTTGGCAGTGAATATTTCGGAGACAGTAAGAAAGCGTACTTTAGGTTCGCAGTGGATATCACAGCAGAGTTTAGTTCATCCTTCTCCTGGTCGCCTTTGGTCCTTCCGGTAGAGGAAACAAGATGGCCGCCTTTATACACGACGAATACAGTGTTGGGCGGCTTCTGATTGGTCAACCTACCATTGGTCGACTATAAAGGGAAATAAGTCATTCTGACTCGCTCCCTAGTTATACGCTTATATACCCAAAAAACCGTAACAACATCAACAAAATACAATACTCGCCAGCGTCGTGATGTAGGTAAACCGCTGCTAATGGTGTACTACTTAGCATATTACCCCCACTTACAATAGTGTCCAACGTATTTATGTTCATAGGTACGGTATATAACTGTTTCTGTAAGTGGTTTTATTCTTTACCATCCGTTTTTATCACTGTTCTATCATCCATTTTTATAAACTCATATATTACTCATGGATGATGTCTGCTACTCTTTCTTTCAGTTTGTCTTGAGAGTATTACAAACATTTCTGGGGAGCAAGAAGCCAGAAAAGAGTTTCACAATCGAGTATTGCAATAGAAGAAACTGTTAACGTAGAACTTACGGCTACATCTAGCAAATTCAACGGTAAATTGATGAGAGCTTTTCACCAAATTATTAGAAGATCAAAGTTGACTGCGAAGCAAGAAGCCGGAAGAGAGTTCCACAAGCGAGAAGGGCGATAGAAAAAATTGTTAGCATAGAACTTACGGTTGCATCTAGCCATTTCAAATCTAAAAGGATGAAACATTGCTGCCGATCGAGTAGAAGATTAAAGTTGAGTGAGAAGCAAGAAGCCGGAATATAGTTTCTCTGTTGAATATCCTGAAACAAAGGACCATCTTGTATCAAGTAGCATGGTATTATCATCCACCAAATATAAAACTTGGCATAACGAGGTAAACCAATATCTGTACTGGATAATCTGAAACTTTTAAGGGAAGGAAACTGAAAGAAACTAGTATGACCCCCACCCAGACCCGATTACAAATATAGGATCTGTAAGAATTTTATGGGAATTTATAATATACACAGGCGGAACTTTCAAAGTTAATCGTTTAGACAACCTTAATCAAAGACCACAAGAACAGAAAGTGCTTTCTTATTGGCATGGAAGGCTCTTCTGATTGTAATATATCTTTGAAGATCTTCAAAACACTATCAAAATATGAATATCTTGAAGTGGAATTCTGAAAAATATGGCACATGTGGACATCAATAATACAAGTTGCAGTTGGCGCCCTCGGATTTATTGGAAAATGTTCCGATACCCTCTCTGAAGGGACCCCTGGAAACCCAAGCCTTAAAGAAACACAAAAAAATTGTATTCACAAATACAGCTTACACATTACAAAGGGCTTTATCTATGTAAGATATGTGTGATTTTTGGTTGATCAGTGGATTATGTCTTGAAGCCATTTTTGACCTTAGGTTCCTGATTGGGACCCGGAAGGAAATTTGTATACAAGACAAAATCCAAAGAAGAAAATATTATTACTATAATAATAATAATAATAATAATATTCAGATGATAATTATCCAGAAACAATTGACCATCTTGTGTCCGGCTGGAAAATGTCAGCACCGATTAAATATATAACTTGACATGATAGAATCGGCCAAAATCTGCATTGGAAACTGAAAGAAACTAGTATGACCCCCACCCAGACCCGATTACAAATATAGGATCTGTAAGAATTTTATGGGAATTTATAATATACACAGGCGGAACTTTCAAAGTTAATCGTTTAGACAACCTTAATCAAAGACCACAAGAAAAGAAAGTGCTTTCTTATTGGCATGGAAGGCTCTTCTGATTGTAATATATCTTGAAAGAACTTCAAAACTATCAAAATACAAAGATCTTGAAGTGGAAATCTAAAAAATGTGGCACATGAAGACGTCAGTAATTCCAGTTGTAGTTGGAATACTCGGATTTATTGGAAAATGTTCCGATAAGCACATTGAAGGGACACCTGTTAGGGTCCCAGCTATGGGCAAATAGTTAACCCCTAAACTGAGGTTAAAACACTATGAAAGTTTAAAAATAGGGTTTAATACCAGAAATACTTTGTAAAAAAATTATTAGCAGTAATACATTTTTGAAAAACAATTATTAACACCGAAGGTAAATTCTTACCAGAAATATATTTTTTTTTTGTTGGAAAAAAATATTAACAAAAATAGATTTTTGGAAAAAAATATTACCAATAATGAAAATTTTGTCCATATTAAATAACCCATTGAGGTGTTGATATGCCGTAAAATAAAACAAACAACTTGAATTTATAACCTGGAGATTTAGTATAATTCTATAATTTTACTATAATTTCTATAATTTATATTGACTTATTAATATTTCTATAATTTTCTTTATTTTATTAAAATGTTTATAATTTTCCGATAATTTTACTACAATATTTTCCTATATTTTATATTGACATACTTATACTTTTATAGCTTTTCAATATAAACTGGAGGTACCTTTTATTTAAGGAGAAAACTTTCTATTGAAATAACTGGTTCGTAGAAGTATCTCCCTCCAATGGCAAACTGGGTCTAAAGATATTGTTGACCAAGGAGGCCCACCCAGCTACAATCTTATAATTTAATTTCTATAACGAATAAGTTAAAGTTTCAAAAAGTATATATGAAAGAAAACGATACAATTCGTATCGATAAATGATAACCTATCTATATATCTCATAACAAAGAATCATTTTGATTTTATAACCTGGTCGACCCCTTTTTCTATATTTACTATAACTTCTATAATGCTATATAGTTTTACTATAATTTTTCCTTTAATTTATACTCACTTGTTCATATTTCTATAATTTTCTTTATTTTACTATATTTTTTATAATTTTCCTATAATTTTACTACAATTTTTCCTATAAGTTGTATTGAATTATCTATATTTTTTATATTTTCCTATAATTTTACTACAGTTTTTCCTATAATTTGTATTGAATTATTTATATTTTCCAATATTTTTTATATTTTCCTATAATTTCACTACAGTTTTTCCTATAATTTGTATTGACTTACTTATATTTTCCTATATTTTTTATTATTTTCTTATAATTTTCCTACAATTTTTATTATAATTTGTATTGAACTATCTATATTTTCCTATATTTTTTATAATTTTCTTACAATTTTTCGTATAATTTGTATTGAATTATCTATATTTTCCTATATTTCTTTATATTTTCCTATAATTTTACTACAGTTTTTCCTATAATCTGTATTGACTTACTTATATTTTCTTATATTTTTTCTAATTTTCCTATAATTTTCCTACAATTTTTCCTATAATTTGTATTGAATTATCTATATTTTCCTATATTTTTTATATTTTCCTATAATTTTACTACAGTTTTTCCTATAATTTGTATTGACTTACTTATATTTTCCTATATTTTTTTAGTGTAATCTGGAGGTAAATGTTATCTAAGGAGAAAGCATTCTAATGAAATAAAAGGTTCATCGCAGTAGCCGATCAATTGGTAAACTGGCTCTAAACATTTTGGCGACCAAGTGAGGCCATCCAGAACTACAACACTGTAATTTTCATAACGAATAAGTAAACAATTTCAAAAGTATAAGTATATATATATATATATATATATATATATATATATATATATATATATATATATATAAAAAAGAAAAGGGTGCAATTAAAATCTTTATGGAAAAAATGTGTTTCTTAGTAATTGCAGTCTATATATTTACTGACAGTAAATATCAAATGTAAACAGAGTCAGTTATGTGCCATGCGTAATACATACTTAAACGATCATGTATCTTTCCATACATTACTGACGATGCTGATTTTACCCGCAGTAGGTTGCCATTTCTTTCTGCAGTAGAGCAATTGCCACCCAAGGCTATAGAACTCGGTCTGTCCAGCAATTTACCCATAGCTGGGGGAAGAAGAAAAGGATTCAAACATTTCCCAAGGGTATTAAAATGCAAGTGAATATAATGGATTCGACTAGAATTCGAACTCGGCTCTCCGATTACTCAGTCCGAGCCGCTAACCATTACTTCATTATTTATAATTTAATTTTTTATTCATGTTTGTATTCGTAAGTAATTGGTTGATATTTTCAAACTGTTTACTGAAGAATTTACCCATTAACATATACTTCAAATGCCCAATAGAGCATCGCAGGCTATTCACCATATTATGAGTAATCTATATGATTGTCCGAATCTGCAAATAATTACTTCTGCATCCAAATTATCGAAGAATTCCTTTTCAATATATAGCAACATATATGATTCTAAATTCTCCTCAGATAACAAATTGCCCAATCCTTTCTTTGTGATGTTTATCTTTGAAAATGTCCTCTCATATTCGAATTGAGTAACTGACAGGGCCGATGCGTATTAACCCCGAAACCCCTGATCAGGGTGAGCCTGATTGGTAGTCCCTGGTATTTGCTTTGTAAGCCTCGTTATCTTAACATTTGCTTTCTTCTATCAACATTTATATACGCTACAAATTAAACTAAGCACAGCTGACTATTAAATGATGAAAATATTCGCGGATTATAACTTAATTTTGGGGTTTTTTTCCCCGTCCAAATCCATGAAGTTATTTTGCTTATGCTAAGTCTCAAAACAACATAAAATCCACTATTTTTTTATCCATAATGTTGAATGTGTTAAATTATTCAATTTTTTCACAAGTTGTTTATTTATTTAAGACGTCATGATATCTTAAGACACATAATTTGTATTTAGATACATTATATTTATTTTCAATTTTTCTGGTTGAATTGTTCACCTATATTATCAGCTTCCATTTGGGATAATGACTGGT